TCTGCTCACGCAAGCACGTACGCGGCCTGTGCACGCAAGCATGTACGCGGCCTGTGCACGCAAGCATGTACGCGGCCTGTACACGCAAGCATGTACGCGGCCTGTGCACGCAAGCATGTACGCGGTCTGTGCACGCAAGCACGTACGCGGCCTATGCACGCAAGCATGTACGCGGCCTGTGCACGCAAGCATGTACGCGGTCTGTGCACGCAAGCATGTACGCGGCCTGTGCACGCAAGCATGTACGCGGTCTATGCCTGCAAGCACGTACGCGGCCTGTGCACGCAAGCATGTACGCGGCCTGTGCACGCAAGCATGTACGCGGCCTGTGCACGCAAGCATGTACGCGGCCGCTCGTGAGCCGAAGCAACGTACGCGACCCAGTGCACGCAAGATGTACGCCGGACCTGTAAGCATCGCACAGCACGTACGCGAGCCGCATGCACGCCAAGCCCGTAACGCGGCCCGATGTACGCCAAAGCATGTACGCAGGACCTCGGCACGCAAGCAGTACGCGGTCTGCTGCACGCAGCATGTCACGCGGCCTTCTGCACGCAACATGTACGCGGCACTGTGCACGCAAGCACGTAACAGCGCTAGCGCACGCAAGCATGTACGCCGGCACTGTGACACGACGCAAAGCAGCGTACACGTCTAGCTGCACGGCAGAGCATCGTACGCGGCCTGTGCACGCAAACAGTGTAACGCACGGCCGTGGCACGCCAAGCACGCGTACGCGGGTCTTGTGCACGCAAGCATGGTACGCGGTGCGCACGCGAGCACAGTACGCGAGGGCCTGGCTGCGACGCAGAGCGATGACGGCGGTCGTTGCAGGCGGCACAGCATAGTACGCCGGGCCACGAAGGCACTGTGTGCACGCAAGCACGTACGCGAGTCGCGCACGCAAGCATTACGCGGCCAGATGCACGCACGCCAGTACGCGGTCTGCTGCACCGCAGGAGCATGTACCGCGGCTGTCGAACGCAAACCATCTGTACGCGGCCTCGTGACACGGGCAAGCACAGTACGCGGTCGGTGCACGCCAACGCATGTACCGGCTGCGCACGCAAACGCAACCGTACGACAAGGCCGTGCGCCACGCCAAGTCATGTACGCGGACCTGCGCCGCAAGCATGGGACGGGTCTGTGCACGCAAGCACATGTACGCGCCTGCTTGCCACTAGCAAGCACGTACCGCGGCATGGGCACGCAAAGCAGCGTACAGCGGCCTGTCACGCACAGCATGTAATACCATGCGATCGTATTCAAATTCAAAGTCAAAATGTCAAAATAAAGTGTTATTGCAAGGTAATCGCAAGATCATGCAGCGCAAATAGGCTGCAAACTAATACGTGTACGTGTTACGTATGTTCCGGGAATGAAACAATTGTGGAAATGCAGGAGCGTGAAATCACGTTGGAGCGAAACGCGTGCAACGCCCACGCTCGTTAAATTCCCCTAAATTCTTCCCAGCTATTATTTATTATTTTTAGATTAATTGGAGTTTTCTACGCGTGTAAAAGATAATTAAGTTGCGTCGTTACGGCGGCCACGATTCCAATCGCCCCTTACCCAGCCGCCACGGAACCGTTGTGTGGTGTGCTGCGTGAAAAGATCGTGTGCAGTGCCGTGCAGTGCCGATACGCGTGGGCACCTGGCTAACCAGACCAGCCCGGAGCAAGCAGCGTGCGCTGGCGCGTGTGTGCTGCGAGTCTGTGTGTGCGTGGTGAACGGAGCGTGCGTTGGGTGCGTGTAATGTGTGGGCACTCGTGACCTTAGCGATTTTCTTAGCGATTCCTTAGCGACCGCCTTTCTAGATTTCTTCTTAAGACCTCTTCTCTAAGCTCTTCTTTTCATACTACGGCTGCGAAACAGCTGAGATGACCGGTCGCGGGCCTCTGCCGGTTGCCCGCCTACGAACCGTGTGCCGTCGTCTGGAGTCTGTGCACACGCGCGTGAGTCTCATCACAAACTAATTGAAGATTTTGCGGATTTCGTTCTTGCTTCCTGGATTCGCTGGCGCTGCTCTGTGAGCAGTGGCGGTGTCGTCATTAGCAGCTTAGTTGCAGACCTGCGGTAACCGCTACACGCACACGAACACACACGAAACGCACACCTAGCGCACGCACGCGCAACACACGCACGCAGCACGCACACACACACACACCACACACACACACTCTCTCTCTTCTCTCGCTCTCTCTCCTCTCTCCTCTCCGCTCTCTCTCTCGTTCTCTCGCTCATCGCTCTCTCTCTCTCTCTCTCTCTCTCTCTTCTCTCTCTCTCTCGCTCTCTCTCTCTGTCTCTCTCTCTTCATCCATCCATCCATCCACACACACGCACGCACGCACGCACGCACGCACACACACACACACACAGACACACACGCGCGCGCGCGCACACGCACACACACAAAGCCCTGGCCTTTGCCCTAATCCACTAAAATGTGTGAATCGGCGGCAAGTGCCTGCCTGCTGTGGCGTATGTAGTAGCGAGGGCAGGCTGACGCTGCAGGCCAGCTAATTGTTGGTGTTAGGAGAGGCAGACCCCTTCCTTACACTTGCTGCGTGCGTCTCTGCTGGAGAGGTGTGTTGCCACGCCCGTGCTATTGATGCCGTGCCAGGAGGCTTTTCCGTTGCTGCTCAAATACACAAGATAACTGCGTGCGTGTGCGGAGTGTTTTAAGGAGTAGGTTTGCATTGCCTGATTGTCTGTTTGCGGTTCCGATGTCGGATGTAATAGCCCGGTGAGCGGACTGTAGGCTGCTGGGTGTGCTGCTGGCTGTGCTGTGTGTTACTGTGGGTTCTCTGATATTCTGCTGGTGTGCCTTACTCGCGATCTTCATGCGGTTGTTGTCTGCAGTTTATGGGGTCGTGTGTGTGTGTGTGTGCGTGTGTGTGTCTGTGCGAGCGTGTGTGTGTGTGTGTGTGTGTGTGTGTGTGTGTGTGTGTGTGCGTGCGTGCGTGCGTGCGTGCGTGCGTGCGTNTAATTAACGTGGCGGAAAAAGAAAGCGTGGGCAGGAGGAAGTTCGAACGAGGGCTGTTCGCGTGGGCAGCGTCTCGCCGCGCGCGAATGAACGCGAGTGCATGCGAGGTGTGGGGGCGTCAGCCGTCTGCGCCCGAGGAAAAACAAACTAACCACCGCTTATTTACTCGTCTGTTTTGCAGAGATTGCCATGCAGTGACGGCGGGCGCGGGTGCATACCTACAAATACGATCCAACTCAGGACGCGCGCGTACGGTGGAAGCGGCGTCGGGAGCGCTACATGTAGATAAGGTAAGATTCGGCGCGCCCGAATGGGAATGCACCGTGAGTTGCTGACGGGTGAACTTCGCGTATCGCGCGTGGGCTCGGCCCGTTTGATCAACAGGGAACGGCTCGCGAGATGCCTATCATTTTTTTTAAGGTGGGTACAAATCTAGTGTGATTAGTTTTCGGTCTGTGGCTGTACCGATCATTGGCCGGCGGTGTTTTACAGTGGATAAAAATCCAGCGTTGTTAGTTCACGCGGTTTGCGTTTGCCGTCCCTCGTTCTGTGGCTGTACCGAGCGTTGACTATTGGTGTCGGTGTTTCAGTGTCTGGCTGTGAACCTCATGTGTGACTACCAGGGTAAAAAATACACGGGAGCAACGAGCAATTCTTCAAACCTCCGAAATCGCTGCCGTGAGGCTCAAAATATCTCCCGTAAAATTTTTGATGAGAGCTATTTTTTCCACATACTTTTGAAAAAGAGCTCCCGTGAAAAAAACGAAATTTTTTTCCTTGGTGACCACTGACCACGCTGTGTGAGTGTCCAGTCGTGAACTTCTGACCGATCGCGACGCGACCGCTCTCCTCTAAAACACGTCGCCGCCGTTTCTCTCGCGTAGGATTCTCGTCGTGCCGGTCTCTCGTCGCCATGGACACCGCGGAGACCGTACGCATGGTTCCCGTGACGACGTCGATGTTGCCGGGCAACGGAAGCGGGCGGCCGGCGGCCCCGGAGCGCGACCCCTGTAACATCGGCGCTGACCTTGACTATGACATTGCGATCTCCGTCGTCTGCGCCATCTGCCTCGTGTTCGGCATTGTCTACACATTCCTCGGTAAGTTAGCATTGTCACTGACTAGTTACACTCATCTACGAAACTTCTACTCGTCATCTACTAATTGTCTACTAATTATTTAATTTTCAACCTGATTAACTAATCGTAACTGAGTCACTGAATGGTTTAACTGAAGTTTTTTTTTTATCTTTCTCTTGCCTCCATATCTCTCTCGCCCTCTTGCCCTCTCTCTCTCTCTCTGTCATCATCTCCATCTCTCTCTCACCTTTCCTTCTCTCTCGCTGCAGGCTACCGCTGCTTCAAGGCGACCATGTTCCTCACAGGCTTCATGTCCGGCTCTCTCGCTCTCTCTGTCATCACCTCCATCTCTCTCTCACCTTTTTCTCCCCCTCTCTCTATCACCCCTCCATCTCTCTCGCCCTTTCTCTCCCCCCTCCTTCCCTCCGTCCCTCCCCCTCTCTCTCTCTCTCTGTCATCACCTCCATCTCTCTCTCACCTTTTTCTCCCCCTCTCTCTATCACCCCTCCATCTCTCTCGCCCTTTCTCTCCCCCCTCCTTCCCTCCGTCCCTCCCCCTCTCTCTCTCTCTCTGTCATCACCTCCATCTCTCTCTCACCTTTTTCTCCCCCTCTCTCTATCACCCCTCCATCTCTCTCGCCCTCTTCTCTCACCCCTCCTTCCCTCCGTCCCTCCCCCTCTCTCTCTCTCTCTGTCATCACCTCCATCTCTCTCTCACCTTTTTCTCCCCCTCTCTCTATCACCCCTCCATCTCTCTCGCCCTTTCTCTCACCCCTCCTTCCCTCCGTCCCTCCCCCTCTCTCTCTCTCTCTGTCATCACCTCCATCTCTCTCTCACACCGCTGCTTCAAGGCGACCATGTTCCTCACAGGCTTCATGTCCGGCTCTCTCGCTCTCTACGCCGTCTGCCAAGAGGAAGCCCTCCTCTCTCCGCAGCTGAACGCCGTCGTTGCCGTCGCCGCCGGCCTCCTCTTCGGCGTCGTCACCATGCTCGTCGCCTACCTCGGTCTCTTCATCACGGGCGTGCAGCTCGGAGTCCTCGTCGCCATCGCGGCACTCATCGTCGTCGAGTTCGCCGCGCACCCGTCTACGACGTGGGTCAGCGTCGGCGCGGCGTTCGGCTGCGGCCTCGCGGGGGCGCTGGCGACGCTGCGCTTCCCGAAGGGCGGCACGATCGTGAGCACGAGCGCGTTCGGCGGCGCGCTCGTCGCCGCCGCCGCCGACTACTTCGTCGAGAAGTTTGCGATGCTCGCGTACGCGTGGGAGCGCGTGAAGGTGGTGCGCAGCGAGCCGCCGTGCTGGTTCAGCTGGCTCGTGCTCGCTGTCTGGCCCTTCATGCTCTGCGTCGGCCTGTTCGTGCAGTGGCAGATCACTAGTCAGGACTACGACCACAGGGAAGGTAAGCGAATAGAGGAGAGGAGGGGAGAGGAGCGGAGAGGAGAGGAGGGGGTTAGAGGTAAGGGAAGAGGGAGGGTTTGAGGTAAGGTAAGGGTGGGGAGAGGGTTGGAGGCGAGAGGACAGGGTTGGATGTAAGGGAGGGGACGGGTTGGAGGTAAGGGAGGGGAGGGGGTTGGATGTAAGGGAGAAGAGAGGAGAGGGTTATTGGAGGTAAGGAAGGGGAGAGAAGAGGGAGGAGTAGGGTAGAAGACATGAATAGTAGGAGGTAGAGAGGCATGCAGAACTTGACAGCATAGGGGCGGGGAACGCCGTGCATTTTGCAGTCACTTTGGTTGGCGTCCTGCAAAGGGATATCTGTTTCTAACTGTTATTGAAATGCCCCCCTAAAGTCGTATCGACAGTGGAAAATGCTGACGGGTTAATTACATATGCGCATAATTAGTAATGTAATCCCAGACCTCTCTGAAAGTCAATATATACGAACAGTAGGTGCACAGCAAACAATAAATAATATGAAGGTTCGTAATTTAAGACACCGGAAACACTAGGTACGAACGGTAACCGGGTAGCAAATGATAATTTATACGAATGTTGCCTTACAGACCCTGTTGTTGCCCCAGTTTCTTTGCCTCGTGATTTATTAGCGAGCAATTGGATGGCATTTCCTGGCACGTAAACGCTGAGCGTTGACACTGTGATTTTCACTGAGTCAGTGACACCCGTATTTGTCCCAGATTAGATAATAACTGTAATACTTGCAATCATAACACACGCGCACGACGTTTTCGTGATAACCTGCCCTCATTCACTCTGTGTTTGCCTTTGCTTCACCCCTGATCTATTCCCGCGGTGGACGCGGATGAATGGAATTAAGTGGTGATAAGACAACCGGATGCGAGAAACGCTCTCGCGAGTTTTACGCGGAAAGGCCGGCAGCTTAGCTTGATCGATTGACATCAAACTCGCGTGGTTTGAAGGAAAGCTCTGCTGCTCAGCCCAACCCCCATCTGTTTCCATGTTTTGCGTGTGCGCCTGATTAGGCACGGCGTAGGCCACTAAGCATGCTTTTTCTTACTGTAGAGACGTGTGGCGAAGTGAGAACATTATGATCCTGTTCTGTGCCATTACTCACATGGCCAAGCTTGTTGCCCACTAGCTCTAGAACTATAGTCCTTCGCTCTGCCACAGCCTGTGGCCTGTGGCAGAGCGAAGGACAATAGTTCTAGAGTTGTTACGCACCTACCCTATGTTTAATCCTATATGTCCTTCTATGTACTTACCTGTTGGTAGGTAGCTTATACATAATACATACACGGTCTGTAGTATGCAGGTAGATATACGTACCTGCCTACTGATGGCCCCTTATGTCCTTATATGACCTTATCAGGAGTAAGATAATATAGGATTATTAGGATTATAGGATAATATAGGATCCTATTATATATTATCTTACTCCTGACCTTATGTATGCCACTGTATGTTCGTTCGTACAGACTTACACCTCGTGACTACGTGCATTCGTATTTTTTTCCCACACGGGTCGTGTTCTTCTGTAAGCCCCGTGTTTACTCAATAGTTAGTAAACAGTAGTCGGTCTAGTCTCTTCACATCTATGTCTCTCCACCACGCGAGTGATACTCGTGTGTGTGCATGTGTGCGTGCGTGTGTGTGTGCGTGTTTGTGCGTGCGCGCGTGCGTGTGCCCCATGCGTGTGTGCGTGTGTGCGTGCGTGTGCGTGCGTGTGCGCGTGCGTGTTTGTGCGTGCGTGTGTGTGCGTGTGCCCCATGCGTGTGTGCGTGCTGGTTTGCACGTGCGCACGTGCGTGTGTGCGTGCTGGTTTGCACGTGCGCACGTGCGTGTGTGCGTGTGCCCCATGCGTGTGTGCGTGCGTGTTTGTGCGTGTGCGCGTGCGTGTTTGCGCGTGCGCGCGTGCGTGTGCCCCATGCGTGTGTGCGTGCGTGTTTGCGCGTGCGCGCGTGCGTGTGCCCCATGCATTCACATCGGCACCATCTTCTCTCTCCCCCTTTCCCGCAGCCATACAGAAGAGACGCCACAAGAGGCTGAACTTGAAGCGGGTGCGCGACAAGAGCGAGGAAGTCGACAAGCATTCGCGCGCCTACCGATACTACTACCAGGTGCGGCGAGCCAACGGCGACGTCGTTGCCAAGGTAACCGTCGCCGCTGACGCAACACGAGGGTCGCTGTTTAAACATCGAGTACTTGATTAGCGGGGAGGGGAGAGTGGTTGCGTGAGTGTGGTTATTGTCAACACCGCAGCACGCACACACAGCGTTATGTCAATGTGACGATATGTCAATGTCAATGTGTCATGTCAATAAGATAATGGCGAATGCGTTGGCTTCACGTGCTGCGTAATGTGTCTGAGAGCGTTCTCTTGTTTCTGTCTCCGCCCGCAGAGCTACATCAACACCTGGAGGAATTCGCCGCACTCGACGATGCAGTCGACGACCAGCGTGCAGGTGGCGCCACCAGACAGCCACGTCGCCATGTTGAACCCGTCCGACAGCGCCACCACTACCATGACGACGGTGACGCAAGTGCCTTGAACGTCGTCGTCATCGTCGTCGTTGCCATGGCGACGTCGCGGCATCGCGGTTGCCGTGGGAACGTGCGGCGTCGCCAGCGTCTCTTGTTCTCAGTAGACGAGTCGAGCGTACACCGCGCGTTATCGCTTGCGTCGTTCGATATCGCGTATACACACACGACGCATGTACTCGGTGATAGCGGCGGAGGCGAGTGGCGCCATCTAGCTTTAGGGATGCTCATCGCCTACGCATTCATCTGTCTGACTGTGAGAGATCAACAGAGAGTCTCCCGCTCCCGGAATGGAGGGATGCTGGAGGGAATTATCCCGGTGAGGCAATCCCAGTGTCCGTGATCATAGATCGACTCATGGGATGGGAGGTGTGAGACAGGGGAGAGTAAGAAAGAGAGAGGGTGAGAGAGAGAGAGAAAGAAAGAGAGAGGGAGAGATAGAGAGAGAAAGAAAGAGAGAGGGAGAGATAGA